TGGAACCAGATCCCCAGGCTCCCCGGCACGTGCGATGCAGCCCAGATGTGAGCGGCAGCTGGATCCCACGGCCACGCTGGCAGGACACAGCCCTGGCCCTGGGCTGCTGCTTCCATGAAGGACAGCGATGTTGAGCGCAGCACCCTGCTGTGAGGCTTCCAAGCCTAAGCTGTGCCCCCTTGCCAGCTGCAGGCTCAGGGACACATCTGTCCCCTGCTTCGGATTAAGGTCTGTCCCATCTGTGCTGGGAGGAAGACGCAGGAGCAGGCGACCCACACTGGTCCCTTCTGCCTGCACTCTGCCTTCACTGGGGGCTGAAGTAAACCCCCCCCCCCCTTATCAGTCAGCTCTAGGACCCCCAGCCCCCTTTCTGCCCCTCTCTCCTTTTTTCTGCTGTACAGAAAGCCGCAGAGCCGGGGCGGGGAACAGCAGCAGTTCCGTTTCTGAACCCATCCTGTTTCCTGTCCTTTGCCAAAACCTCTTCTGCTTCCCTACCCAGGGCGTTGGGGCTCGCCCGCGCCCAGCTGCCAGAGGATCGGGTGATGTTGTTTGTTTCTTTTATCACAATGATGAAGTGTTTATAGCAACCATCGCTCCGCAATCCACAAACTTCACTGATCTCAGCCCAAGCTTCTGAAATAAAGGCAGAGGAAGCACAGCCCCCCCCTCCGGGGTCAGCAATGGTGGGCTTCGGGTCGCCGAAGCAGGGGACCTTCGTGTTAGGCATCACCAGCTGGAGATCAGCCCACATCTTATGCTGTCCCAAACGGGCACCTCGGGGCTGGGGCCATGCCCTGACCAACCTGCGATGGCAGCGATATCCCTGTGGCTACTGACTGGTGACCAGGTGGGACGTGGGGGCTGCCAGCCACCTCCCAAGGGTCTCCTCTCTGCTTCGAGTGGTGGAGGCAGCGGGGGGGGGGGCACCGAGCTTGTGGGGGGGGGGGGGGCCGCGGGGGGGGCCACAGCGAGCCAGTATCCCTCGGCTGCTCCACAGAAAGCTGGGATTTCCCCTGAGCATCCGGCTCTCACCAGCTCCCCTGTCGCAGGAGCAGCACAGCCAGGGCACAGCTGCACTGGGAAGGAAGGGACCATCCCTGCCCATCCCCAGCTCCCACCGGAGCTCAGAGCCGAAAGCACCGCAGAAGAGCTGTGCTGGAAGCCACGCTGCTGCCTGTCTGTGCAGCTCATGCTTCAGGCCACGGAGATTTGCTGTTCAACGGAGAAAAGATGGTGTCTGCTGACAGCCCACCTCCCGGGCACACCGGCCGCTGCCGAGCCTCGCTGCGTATCGGAGGGGAGCGCCTGGCTCAGGAGCGGATTTCCTATCCAAATGTGATACAGCTGTTTCTGCTTCCTCTCCAAAGACTGAAGTGAGTTTTAAACAGTCAGTTTATCATGTATTTTCTTTATCCAAGCCTCCTTGTGGATGTGACCCATGCCTGAACTGCCCAACCTCACAGCATCAAGGCTGGAACAGGCAGAGAGCATGACTTGTACAAGCCCAGCTCTTGGAGGGGAGTATCCTGACAGCAAGTCCTGGGGCTAAACACCATCTCAGTGGGAGTGCCTGTTGCAGGGCAGCCAGAGAAATAGGACAGTCAGAAGGAGCTTTTTGGGAACCAACACCCAAGAGCTTGTCCCCAGAGCTTGCTTGAGGGACCCCTGGTTTCTAAGCTCCCCCACATGCAGCATGGAACGAGGCAGCTACAGGATCACATTTAGCTGCTTTACAGGTTTCCTGAGGCTGCACAGACCTTGCAGAGTTCCTACATCTCTCCGTGCACCCAGGGCAGGGAGAGCTGTCCCCCAGCCACCCCACCTACCTCACAAAGCAGTGTCAGGGACCAAAGCAAAGGGCAGCCCCGAGCAGCACACTGCAAACAGCCTCACGCTGCCTCCTGCCCCAGCTGTGGCCACTGCCCACGGAAAGGACTTTCAGCTGGAGGGCTGGATCTCCCCAGGCCCTCCTAGAGCAGCACTTGCTTTTCCATACCTCTCACTGGTTCCCTGCTCGTCCCTTCTAGCCTTGCCCCTTGCACCTGGAATTTGCTGCTCCTGGAAAGTTTTGGTGCAGGGCCCTGTTGGGAAAGACCAGGAGCCCAATTCATGGGTCCCTTTCCCAGCTGGACACACTTATGCAAGCCCAGAGGATGACGAGGCCTGTGTTTGCCGTTATTTTTAATGATGTGGGTAAATGCTGTCTCACTGGCACGCTCAAGGCTGCTGAGATTATATCACCAGTTCACTCTGAAGCCCAGTTTGCAGAGGAAAGCCACGTCCCCACTGTCCCAGGGGCAGGCTGGGTGCTGGTGCTGGTGCCGGTGCAGTGCAGGACGGTGTCTTGCTGGGCAGGAGCTGTGGGTGCTGGCTCCCCAGGCAGCTGCTGGCAAGGGCAGCGGTGGGAGTGGGAGGGCCGCGGGCCCTATGAGCCCTGGCTGTCTGGGAGGTGTGCTGGTGGCCAAACAGCAATAGCCAGGGTTTGTCTTTGACACAGAGACCTGCGTTTGTTGTGCTAACTGGGAGGCAGGCGAGGCAGCGCTGGCTGGTCCAGCTTGTGCCACTGAAGCGTGCCTAGTGGGTGCAGAGCCTTGTGGCATCAAGCACACAGGAAGTTTTAAGGTGCTCATCAGATCGGGCTGCTTTTGACACCGAAGATTTTGACATTAGACATGTACCTCTGGCCCCTGAGGGTTTTGGCCAAGTCCCAGCAAGGCCAGTAAGATACAGAGCAGTCTCTAAGGAAATGCTCGCATAAACCGTAGACAAAAATATCCGAGGGTGTTGTGAAGTATATCTGAATATGCAAATGGGCCAGTTCAGGTTAGGGAACGACATGGCTAAGCAACCATTTTAGAAACATCTCTCAAGCTGACATCTTTTACATCTGTCAGTGCTGTTCTTCCAGTGGGGCAAAGAGCTTGAAACACCAAGGAGCAAAGCACTTGCGAGCCAGCTCTCACTTTGTAATACTGCACCTTTGCTTTCCCTCTCACCAGTAACCTCCGCCTCACCGGCCCTTTCATACGGCTGCTCAGAGCGAAAGCAGCACACAGCAGGTTTTCCTGACGTGACAGTCAACCATCAGCCAGCGAGACACCTCCCTGCCCCAAGTGAGGGCTGCAAAGTGCCGGGTCCCATCCAGGAGCAGGGAGCTGGGGGCTGCCCCTGGGCACGGCTTGCCAGCAGGCACTGCCAGGGGCTAGGACATGGCCCGGAGGCTGCTGAGTGCCAGAGAGACCGTGGGTCAGCGGCCTCAGATCCTCAGCCAGCAGCGCCAATCCTGGACAAGCACCGACACGACACCCAGCACCCCTTCCCTTGGGGCACGCTCAGCCCTGGTGCCCACAGCACCCGGGGGCTGCTCTCCCCCCTCCGGGCTCAGGCAGCCCCCGGGGTGGGCAGCCAAGGGCAGGACCCTGTGCACACCACAAGCAAAAGCACATGGAGCCATCACATGGCGTGGGGCTCGATCCAGAGGCCACGTGGGGTCCTCAAGCAAGCAGCAAGCACTTCACAAGCAAGTCCTGCGGGACCACCCCCTTACAGAGAGCACAGCCACTACATGGAGGAAGCATCTTTCGATCTGGGTTTATTAAAGGATATGAATACAACTGTGGGCCCAGCCACGAGAGCTGGGTGCCAGAAGCAGGGCTGGGTTTTGGCTGGAAGGGTGCGGTCTCCTCTCCAGGCAGCCTTCAGCGATACTGGCCAAATTTCCTATCCGGCAGGGTGTCCCAACGCCCCCACCCCGGCAGCGCTCCATCTGGAGTGGAGCCCCTCTCCACACCACCCCAGCCTCGGTTACTTATTGCTTTTAACGTGCTAAGTCTAGTAGAGAGTGAATTAAAACCAAAACTGCATGTCTGTAGCGGTGCGTTTGTGCTGTCTTCGGGCTGTGCTGGGGAACCCTGGCCATCAGACCTGGAGAGGGATGGAAGAGAGGGGTGGATGAAGTCAGGCTGGGCGGGTAGCAGAGACATCCCTGGGTCAATGATGCTCCGGGACAGACCCTGTCTTTGCTGACAAGCCACAAAGCAAAAGCCTTTGGTGTCCGCTGCCAGAGCTAAGCGGGTGTCGATGGCCTCTTGGGGCTGGCAGAGAGAAGGAGCTGGCACCCAGCAGATCGCTCCCGAGCACCAGCGTGAGGGCCAGGAGTCACAGCCAGCCCGGAGGGACACCACGACGCGCCTGCCGTCCCCGCTTGCCTGGGGGAGCACAGCCCCCGCCAGCCCCCACAGCCGGAGGGGAGCTTGGAGGGGAGGCACCAACCTGAGGTTTATTTGATGGCTCTCGGCTCCTCCCCCCCCAAAGCCTGGAAGAGAGACAGAGCAAGGTCAGCATCGCTGTGGGACAGCGAGCGCACGGAGGGATGCGCCTCGCCGAGAGATGGGAGCCCTGAGCCCCCTTCCCCTGCCTCCCACAGCGACCCTACCTTTGGGCCCAAACAAGGCAGCGTAGCAGGGGTGGTTGCAGTACGGCTTGCCCTCATGCTGCAAGGAGAGAGAAAGGGCATCAGCCCCGACCACGCTTCAGCTCCATTTCCGCCTGTCCCACCGCTCCTGCAGCCCCTAGCTGGGGGAGACAGGGACCTCCTGGGCAGCAAACCTCACCTCCGCATGGCCTCCAGACGTCAGGGTCTTGTTACACTTCTCGCATCGCAAGCAGGGCCGGTGCCAGTCCTTCCCCAGAGAAGTCACCTTCTCGGCTGCCACAGAAAGGAGATGGGTTAGCTGAGGCACTGGTGAGTTTTGGCAGGTTAGCCTTCCTGCCACCAACCCTAGGGAGGACATTTCTGGGCATTTTCTCAAATCTTATTTGTCCAGGACACAGGGCACTCCATTTCAAACCCAAGTGCTTGCTGTGCACACACATTGCCGTGCACATCCAGGTGCCCGGAGCCGAAACCACGGTGCTGTGCCCAGGGTGAATGCCACCGCATCTATGTGGATGGCCCAACTTCCATCTGTCCTCCAAAGATCTGGGGACCTCCCACCTTCCAGCATCAGCCTTGCAAGTGGATGAATTTCTGCCCGGCCAGCTGGAGCCCAAGCAATCACCAGAGTTGGCAGGGGTGAAGGGGGGGATGCTGGCAAGGACCGGGGAGGCAAAGCCATCGCCGTGCCCTGCCCCAACACAAATCAGTACCCTCCAGCCGCTGGCGCTCTGTCCACAGCTCCAATTTTGCACACACTGTGGCAAACCAGAGCGGAGCTGGGGCTCAGGCGGCTGCGGGGGGACAACGTGCTGTTTCCTGGGGCCAGGACATGTTTATGGAGAGAGAGGGGAACACAGGGTGGCTTTTAATTGTGGCACAGCAGGGTGGAAGGTATTTTCTGTAGACACATGCGGTCTTCATATTGGCAGCTGTACTTCTGGGGATTTATTAAGCGATAAAGCAGAGCCTTCCACAGCAACCCCATCAGAGCTGGCGCCGAGCACTCTCCCCACGCCTGCAAAAGGAGGTTGAGCAACGGGACTGAGCCACTGCTGGCAGTGTGTGCCCGGGGTGGCTGCTGGCACCATGAAGCACCTCTTCTTCGGAGTCCAAATATGCTCACGATAGCTTATGCAAGGAGCAAGCCGGCGGCTGCAGAGGTGGGAGCGGGGGCAGTGCCCAAATGTCACGAGGCAGCCCTGCTGCCATCCCACCGTGGCACAAAGAGCCTCCTGTGCCTGCAGCCCTCAAGCAGGAGCTCTGCCAAGGCTTGCTGCAGCGGGGCCCCCCCCGGCTCTCAGCCACAAGGGCCAGATTCCCCTGGAAAGCTGGTGGTGGCCCTGCAAACCCCAGACCCAGTCCCCTCGGCACCATCTCCTCATCAACCCTGGTCTCTACAGACACCATTCGGCTGAGAGCAGCCCAACGCACACCCGAGCAATAATGCCAGGCTCCGAGAGCCCCGGGGTGCCCCAGAGTAGGGCCTTGCTCTGCTTCCTCTGCCAGCGCTCCTTATCTCCAGAGACAGAAATCAGGCAGCCAGCTCGGTCCTCCAACAGCTTTTGAACCCTCCTCACCCTCTGCATCAACAGAGGTGGTTTTGTAAGAGCAGCCTGATAAGTGCAGGGCCAAACCCCTCCTTGGTCAAACGGTCCCATCCCACTACCTCCACGGCCGCACCTGCAGGCACAGCAAATCCAGCTCACCCCGACTGGTATCGAAGCAGCTCCGCAGGGACACGGGAAAGGCAGACACTGACACCAGCACCTTGGTAGCTCCTGGTATCAAGCCACATGGGTAAATGAGGTGCCCCAGTACTCTTGGTTGCAGGAGGGAGTCATGAACCGTGTTGTGCCAAAACCCCACCACAAAGCCTGGCTTCAAGCAGTGAGATCAAGTTTAGGCAGAGGTGTTCCCCAACCGTCGGAGCCACGTCCCCAGCAGCCCTGCAGGCAGCACCCACGCCAGACCCAGGGTGGGCACCGCGAACGGACACGGCTTTTTGGCAGAGAGCGCAGCCCCTGTTTTTAAGCCTCTGATCTCTTCGGCACAGCAGAAGTTGGGGCACAGACACAAGCAGAGCAGAAACAAGGCAGAGCGAGCCGAAGTCAATGATGGCACCCGGGTCCCAGATCCCTCATCTGAGCAATGAAAGAGCAGTGAGGGTGTATAGGGGACTCCCAGCAAAGCCCCCTAAGTTCAGCGAAACCAGGGAAGCAGGGAGGTCTGGCAGCCAGAGCTTGCCTGTTCCAGCAGCTGCTGCTGGCAGGGCAAGAAGCTCAAACCTCCCCCCCAGATATTCTTGGGCAGGACAGCAGGACCACGGCACCAGAAGGGGCAAGAACCTGGAACTTCGGTGCCCCAGCTCAGAGGGAGGACACCTGCCCGAAGCCCAGCAGCCAACAGCAGCCCAACAAGGCTCACAGCTAGCCTGCAATGGCAGCTTAAAAAGAACACCCCGGGGCTGTCATCTCGCTGGGCTAAATCATGCAGGACAACGTGTGGGCAACCCACTGACCCAGGACCATGCCCAAGGGCAGGATTCGCCCTCGGGAAGGGGCTTGCTCGCCTGCCCAGGGTTTCAGAGCAGCGGGCGTTTGGGTTTCCAGCTGAGCAGTCTTCGGGGCTGCGGGCGATGCCAGGTAGGAGCCAGGGTTGAGCTCCCGCACTGTGCCGTGGCCTTGTCTGCAGGCTTTGGGGGTACCCGCTGCACCCCACCCCCTGCAGCAAGGCACCTCCTTGGGGGGATTTACAGGGCCACCCGCCCAGGGAACCCTGGGGACACGCAGCGCGGGGCTGCACGGCTTCAGGGCGCGCCCAGGATTTGCATTGCTGGGGTGCACGACGTCGGGGCACCCGG